CCGCCTCTCGATAAGCTTTCCCGGTATAAGCTTAAAATTATCTTTGTAGAGCGAAGCCCCGGAAGCGAGATAGCAGTAAGAATAAATACTTTTTGTTGCCTCATTTGCCTTGTTGAGAGGAGTAACATCTTGACGAAGTTTTATTTCAGCCATTAGGTGCTTAATTACGGCTTTGGACTCGTCACTATTTAGGTCTGCAGAACCACATGAAAAGGGAGGGAACACGTCAATGTCAGGATTCGGGTCATTGCTAATACCATAAAGCTGGCATACTTTTGGAAACGACCAATCTGAGAAAAGGTCCTCGGTCTCATTGTATGGATATTGGAGGAGGCACAGAAGCCGGTGGAAGTTTCGCAATGTGGAGTAAAAAGGGTAAAGTCATTGAGTAACCTCGCAGGAAAAATCGAATTAGAATTTAGGGACATATAGGAGACTTCGTCATGTATCACGGGATACGTTCCGAGCTATGTATTTATTTTTCGCATTCCAAATTGGAACGGACACGTGATATTTTATTATTAAATTTGAATATTTAGTGTACTAAACAAGTGTTATCAATCATGTCAAACGCACAATATATTTATTCATCATGCTAGGCTCTTAATTGAGATTTCCGAACTCAGGAGAAAGTTTACAGAGGTTGAGGCTGAGAATGCGAAGCTGAAGCAGATTATTGAGGAAAATGCCAGGCGTGATGCTAGAGTTAAGGAATTAGAGAAAAAAAAATATGGAGCTTGAGGCCAGACTCGCGATAGTGGAACAGGGTTTCTCGGTAGTGGATGATCAGCTAAATAAAGAAGCAATATCAAAGATGTTTGTAGAGCAAACCGTATCAGATGTTGATTTACTGTATCCAGCTCTGTGACAGACCAGCAAAATAATGATGATGCCAAGACATCGGAGGAAAAGGATATAGATGCTTTCTTGGTTGAGATAAATAAGAAAAGCATTAGTGATAAAATTAGAGAGAGCAGGAGAAAAAGAAGGTTCAGGATAAGATGATTACCAAAGACACATCCTCCGTTACTTCAGACTTGACTCACTGTGAGGAGGACCTCTCCATGACTAGCGCTGAACTTGTAACTCTCCCAGAACAGGTAGTCAAAGAATTGATTCCGACCTGTAAGTCAGTTACCTTTGGTAACAAATCATCTGCAGGGGCATCGCCAATAAAATCATCTATGGCGGACAAACCGGCTCCAGCTTCTGAGAACACAGAGACAGAGTGTCAAAAAATTCCTTAAAATCAAAAAGTGGAGCAAGATTTGAGACGGGAGCTATCATCACTGAAGTTGATGATGGTAAGATTAATAAGGCATTTTTTGTTCAAATCCTTGAACTCTCTTCAGAAGTAATTCTGATGGGATCTAGTGAAGTTACGGCACAGAATATAGTTGATATATTTAGATTAGCAATGAAGCTTAGACGTAAGGAGATTATATGCTGGTATTGTTACTATAAGGCATATGAGGATCGAGTCAGGGATGTTAAGTCTAAGAATGGTGTTGATTACAAATCAGCAAGAACATTGGTGTACAGCGAAATCAAATCACTTCTTCATGACATTACTGATGTAAACTTGCATGAATAACTTTCAGAGCTAAAAAATCTATACATTGTTTGATGGGATAGGAATAAATAGAATCCAAATAATTAGCTGTAGCGCAAGTACCATCTCGAATTTATATGATAATCAGATCCAGGACATTAAAAATAATTTTCCCAAAAAGCTACTAATACAGATGATGATGAAGGTTATGAAGACTCCGTTCCAATTTGGAACGGACACGTGACTTCAGAAATCAATAAGACTGAGTAAGTATATCGGCAAATGTATTATTTGCATCCCAATATAAGCCAACCTATGACCGTTTCTATTTTTTAAACAAGATATTGGATTGTTATCCTAATTTATATAGAGAATATAGTAGTGAAAATTTCGATTATTATGGAATTACTGACGAGACATCATGCTCATTATGCAAATTAGTCATGGCGATGAAAAAAGCATAGAAGGTAGATATAAAACCGGATCCTATTTTATTAAATGTGAACAGCGTGAACTTGAGATAACTGCATAGTCTCATTATTCCTCTCTGGTCCTTTGGACTACGGGAAATGATTTTTTAGAAATATGATAAGAGATATTAGACAGCTTTCTATCTGAAAATTTTAATATTTTTTTCAAACATATGAAATTAATATATGTCCAAGACTGATAAAATACTAACCTCCGAATATCTGAGCTGGCATGCCAAGTTAAGTGGTTTACCAAGTGTTTTGACGGATAGGATTCGGTCCAACATATACAAAGAATATAAAAAAGAAACTGGGAATGAGCCATGTCAATTATCAGAAGATCGCCTTTTCATAAATTAGAAGCCAGAAACAAATTATCCTATTTATCATCTTCTGAGCAATGTGAAGAAAAAGGATCTGTAACTTTTGAAATCAGATCCGATCCCAATTATCAAATCCGTCTTAGAGCACTTCCCATACTTGAAATTTCGGAAATAGTTTTAGGGGAATTGATAATTATAATTTTGCATCACCTCAGTCGTGGAGTTCACAATGTCCTATTTGCGATGGAAACATGGGAATTATGGATTACACGGCTCATGATATAAAAACCAAACGGAATATTGTCTTATTTGCCTCACTTCAAGCAATAAATTCAAGTTCGCAATTGTAGCACAGTGAATTCATTTACTGTGCCACGTTACTGTGACATAAATCACGAGGTTATGATCAGATTAATCGGTGTATCGCCATATCATATCACGATTATCATGAGTATAATACTGTAATATTGTCAAAAAAAATCCCTAATCCAAAAAAAAAAACTCCCCAAAACCGAAACCCCCCCCAAAAAAGACAAAAAAAAATCCGAATGACGAAAGACAAAAAAATAGAAACCGACGAAAAAAAAAACGCAAAGCTTTTTAAAAAGTTTATAATTAAACTATATTTTATTTCCCGCATATCTTTATTTCATTTCCCGTGTGTTACCATTTCATCTTAGTATACCGGACCTTGCTCCTTAGATTTTATAGTTACATGGAATCATGCTTTAGATGAGCGGTGACCCACTAGCGCTTAGCCTGGGCTATGCTCCAGGATTAAAGATGCTAGGTTATTTTATATATTAAAATTTATTAAATTTAAATTTATTATATCAAATTAAATTAAATTTTAATAAATTATTTTAAATTATATTAAAATGTAAATTTATTAAAGAATTAATAATTTTTTTCAAATAAATTTGATATAGAATTATAGAAATATTAGTAAGTATGTTTGAATTATATTTTTAAATTAAAAAAATTAATTATTTTTTTAATTTAATTTTTTTTAATATTATTATATTATCATTACATTACAATCATAATATAATTAATTATTACAAATCATTTTATTTTAAAATATAATAAATTGTTATAAATTATTTTATTACTATAATATAATAAACTATTACAAATTTAATTTATTATTAAATTTTTATTATTTAAAAAATATTTATCTATATACAATATTATTTAAAAAATATTTCTCTATATATAATATTATTTAAAAAAATATTTTCTATATACAATATTTTTATATATACAGTATTTCTTCTTTTCTATTAACATGTTTATTTTTAATCAAAATTTTAATATTATCTTTTAAATAAACTCTTGACAAAATTACATATAACTGTTCATAAGTAAAAACAAGTTTAAATAAATACAATTCCATATTTTTTATTATTTAATCTTGAGCTTTATTTACAATTATTACAAAAGATAATTTAATAAAAATTGTTTTTATACCAATTAAAAAGAAAATTTAGATTTGTTATATTAATTTTGTTTTAAAAAAATTTTTTTACTTGATTTTCTTTTTATTTATTTTATTATATTTATATTTACTATGTTGTTATACATATGTCTTCCAGAAAGTTAAGCCTTATATAATTTTATTTTATTTGTTTATTTGAAAAAGGTTGTAATATTGAAAATATATTTAAGAATGCTCTTTTGATTTTTAAATAAAGTAACTATAATTTTACAATTATAAAATTATTCTATTTATATCTAAAGATCTTTAATAAAAGAATTTTATTATTGACTTTTACATCTCTATTTCCTTATTCTTATACTTCTTACCAATAATATAAAACAAATAACTTTCTTATATAAACATTTCAAATTTCTAACAAACTTTTATCACTACCATTAATCAATTATTAAAAAGATACAATCTCTTATATACCTCTGCTACTAACAATATTCATGACATTATTCAAATTCTACAAATATTCTATATCATTTACAAACTTATATCAACAATAATATATATGCAATCATATAATACTATCATTCTACAACTCAATAACATTAATTTCTTCTTTTTATCTTATATTCTCTCAAATTTACAAAATAATTCACTTCTTTTAATTTGCAATTTTATTAAAAAAATAAATAAAACAATCCAACTAGTCAATATAATTTACTTAAAAAAAACAAAAACTATCTTTAAATCAGATTTTCACTTCTTTTTAAATTCTAATATTCTTAAAAACTTACTACTTCCAATTACTCGAATTCAATTCAAATGTAAAAGCAATAATAAATTCTTTTATTAAAGACTTTTAGGTATAAACAGGATAATTTTATGGTTGTATAATTATTAGTTACTTTATTTCAAGGTTAAAAGACATCTTTAAATATATTTTTAACATTATAATCT